CACTGGCCACTCCCTGTGGCTAAACTATAGGTGTGACTATATATTCAAGAGCTGCCCAGTGCAGAACTGGGCATTAGGAGGGTTCATCTCTGAAATTAGTGAGCAGCGAGTGTGGCAGGGCTCAGCCCTGGCCCCACTAGTTTTAAAAAAATGTGATATGAATAAAAATAATAACATTGACAATAGCTGCTAACATTTGTTGAGAGCTTACTAGGTGCAAGGTCCTATACTAACCACTTTATAAGGATTTTCTAATTTAACCCTCACCACAGGCATGAAAGGTAGGCTCTGTTATTATCCCCATTGTACTAACAAGGAAACAGAGACACAGCGAGTGATGCAGGTCACACACCAGTGAGAGCCTCTTAACAGCTGGATGTCACTACCCTTCAGCAACTATCCAGTGGGCCTAAGTTCTAGGATTCCAGCTAGGACCAGGGTATCAAGCAGAGCACTGGCTTGCCCTTCACAACTGAGTGAAACTGGAAACGTGAACACAGGGTGGAGCGGGGCTATCATAGCCCAGACTGACAATCACAGGTGCCACACAGAAGGAGTTTGGTGTGGGAGCAGAGAACAGGGCTGAAGGTATGCAGCTACCGGTAGCCCCAGTCAGTGAAAACTGAAGTGATGGGGTTCTGAGTTAAGGTATGGCAGCAAGATGGGTGGTCCACAGTGGTGACCAGAAGGAGAAGGGCAGTAGTGGGGAGTGCAGAAAAGGATGTGGGCACCTCAGATATACAAACCATCAGCTAGAGTTTGGTGGGAGGGGGTTCGGTTGATGGGAGAGGAACTGGGAGAGCCCAGCAGTGCCCGAACTCAGACCATATCCAGTTCTGAGGCTCAGAAACAAGGACAGGTCCAATTACCTTCCCTGAAGCACTGTGTCCAGATCAGACCAGATCTTTAAGCAGAAAGGGTAGCTTAAAACTGCTGGAAGGTGCTAGAGGGCCTTGGACATCACCTAAAGAAATCAAACTTCATCTGCTATACCTGTGATCTCACCTGGGGAGCTGCTGTATACATACATGACATCACTAGCTGGGGGTGACATCATGTCTTCCTTCTCATAATCCCTCAAGAACCCATAGTTCATAAATGATCCTAATGCATAAAAGTGAATGGATTCAAGGTTAACCTGAAAAGAATATCACTTTCACGTTGTGACTTGTTTTCTTGAACAGGAGAATAAGAAACACAGATACAACTCGCATGTTTGTTTAGCCCTGGGGATGCTGTGAGAATGTGCCAGGCATGTGATATCAGTTCATATATCACATTGGAGAAAAGGCAGAAAATTGTCCTCAGAGTCCATGGAGAGTTGGTCTGAAGGGATGCAGGGGTGGGGCAGAGAACAACTGTGTTTTGTTGTAAGCCCTCCTACAATGTTCAGATTGTATTTTTTGTTGTATGCGTTTGAATGTGTAAATGCATTAGACTTGACTATCAGATCATCAGTTCTATAGTACATCAAAAGGGAAGGAAACATAGGGACAATATGTTAATGCATTGTCACAGGCAGAAGATCAAGGCAGCCTAACCAGCAGATACAAGAATTTTAAAAAGAAAATATTAGTAGGCAGGGACCATTTAATGTGGGCATAAAGAAGTTCATATATCTCTCAGAAGTCATTATAACACAGCAAGTGTTAGCCTTATACCAGCGCCATACTCACACTCCATTGAAGATTGGAGTATCCCAATCACACACTGTTTAAGGGGCCAGGAGCAAGGGAATACACTTTAGCACAACTTTTATCCAAAGGAGCAAAGACCACAAATGAAAGGAGGCACCGTTCCATTGTGCCTTTCCCCGCCAGCACTTAATTAAACCTGCCAAACTCTATGCCCTGTGAGGGCACAGGTGGTGTCTTTTCGTTCACCCAGCTTCCCTAGGGGAAAATCACCTCCTCAGGGTTTCTTGTCCCTCAGCCACTTGAGATGTTTGTCTGCTCCAGGCCAGGAAGGGCTGCAGGCCTGGCCCCAGGAGAGCCACTGAGCTTCCGTGAAATGGAAGGAGAAAAGTGGCCTGTTCTTGCTCCTTGCTCATCACTCAGAGATGCTCTTCACCAAGTCCCACATAAAACTGAAAGACGTAATCCCCTGCTGTCATTCCTCAGCTCCATCTGCCTGTTGGAATAATTGAAACTTGAAAGGTCTGCTTTGATTGCTGCTGAAGAGGAAAACTTAAATTTTAGTGGAAAAACTTAGTACATACTGCCTCAAACTTTAAATGTTGGGTGTCTTGTGAAATTTGGTTTCTATCCTCTCCAGTTTTCTACACAGAGAATTAGGTAAAGGCTCTGTGCCCAGGTAGACCAGGGCTGTCCAAACTTCCAGTGTCCCTGAGCCACACTGGAAGAAGAGGAGTTGCCTTGGGCCACATATTAAATACACGAACACTCACGAAAACTGATGAGCAAACACAAGGTTTTAAGTTAATTTACTATTTTGTGTTGGGCCGCATTCATAGCCATCCTGTGCTGCATGTGGCCCATGGGCCACGAGTCAGACACCCCTATGACAGAGGCAGCAATAGGAACTTCAGGACCCTTGTTCAGTCACAGCCCACATGGGTGCCAGGCAACTCTGAGGGGTGGGGATCTAGGCTTCTCCAGCTCTAGGGGCTCCAGGGGGCTTCCAGCATCAGCCAGAGAGATCAGACCCACCAGAGGGACTCAGGTGGGCCAGCTGCATGAGAAAGGGGGCAGAGGGACCTCCAGCTCAGTCCCCACTGTTCATCGGGGTCCACCCTTACCCCAAGGTCACTGCCTGGACCTATCTTGGGAGGCTGGGCTTTAATTCCCCCCTCCACTCTCTTTTCCCTATCCCTTCCTTGTATCCTTCCCCTTTCTCATATCCTCTATCCTTCTTTCCTCCCTTCACCTCCTTGTCCTCCCCCATTCCTCTCTCTTCACTACTCTGCCCTCCTCCCCTTCCCTATCCTTGTATTGCCCCTCCCTCCCCTTCTTCTTTTTCTTTTTCTGCCCTTATCCTTTCTTCCCTCACCCCTGTCCTTCCTTCTCTCCCTCCAACTTCAATGACATAGATCAAATAGTTCTGTCTGCTCCAAGAGAATCAAGGCCAGTCAACCTCCAGAGGCCCTTCCCAGTTACCTGAAGGCCAAAAGTTCAGAGTAAAATAAAGAGCTATTCATTTCCCCCTCTGGGTTAGAGAAGGGGTATTCACGCCTGGAGGATACTCATTTTTGAAGAATTGGGTATTTTCACTGGCTGCCTCTCCCTGGTTGCAGCTTTCCTTCCACAGGCTCCTGCCTGCCTGCTGGCTTCTAACCCTGCCTCCCCTTCCCCCACCTAGAGGACAGAACTGCAGGGTGGCCTGTGTTTATAGGGCCTGGTTGAAGGAAAGACTCTACAGCTGGGGACATTGTGGTGCTCACAGGAAAGGCTCTGGTGCAGGCTGCGCCAGCTGCAGTCCTGAGCAGCCCACCCCCAGGGCCGTCCCCAACCTGCCCCCACCCCAGCTCACCATAGGCAGGACTCCCTCTGGAGCAAAGGAAGTTTAAGTTCCAGGGCCCTTGACTTGCTCTTGCCCTTCCAAGAGCATGGGAATAGCCCCACATTGTGTTCCCATGATCTTGTGTTTTTGTAAGTTCTGTAAAAAGAATATATTTTAGCTATAGTTGGGGTCAAGTGCTGTTCGTGTCCACTACAGCTTCCCCTCCAACAGACTTCTCCCCTGGTCACATGACCCTGGAGTGGTTGTGGGCAGATGGGGGACACAACTAAGGGGAAACAGAGTTGGAAATACATTTAGTTTGCTTTTAGTGGGATTAGCCCGTGTGGCCCAGAGTCCCTTCTGTACAGGGGCAAGTGACTGCTGGCCATCCTGGTGCAGAACCGGCTTGCAGGAACAGTGCCTCTGGTTGAACCACAGATGAGCATATCCCATAGCACCTGGCTTCAGAAATCTGCAGGTGGTGGAGGAAAAACAAGGTTTGAAATTCACTGAGCCAGAAGCTAGTCTGGAGAATTCCATCACAAGATGTGCAAAATTCAAAGTGGAGGATTCCGTTCTCATGACACCCCATCAAAACACAGACTCGGGAAGATATTCAGTGGTGTAGCACATACACTGAGAAGTGTCACGCAGAGTTGTGTGAAATGAAGTTGATCAGAAATCTTGTCTTTGCAAGCACTTACCTGTGGCCGTACTGCACGCAGGTGTGTCTGCATGTAAACCAGCGTGCTGTAGTGCCTCCCAGCTATCAATAATTTTGATCAATCTTGCTAGATGGAAGCCTACCTTTGCTTCCTGCTCTAATACAAAATCATTATCATATAAAGAGAGGATCAAAGCATGCAGAAAAACTCACAAATTTATTTTAACTAAAACTTATTTTGGAGGTACATCAGGCAGTTAACTAATTAGAATATTATATGTATTTCCTGAATTTTGAAATATGTTTTACATTTCCCAGATTTTAAAAGTAGGTGAGTTTTGGTGATTTATTTTCTAAAGCCGTTTTTATAAGCAGCCCCCCTCCAAAACAAGTTGTATAAGCGTCAGTTCCCACAGACCTGGACCCTCCCCACCGGCAGCCTCTGTGAGCTCCTGCAGAAAGGACCCGGTTTTTCTCTGTCTTGTGGGGAGCCGGTCCAGCCTGGACCCCCACATGCCCAGAGCAGTTGAGTTGGTGAGTGCAGCAGGCAGCCTTCCCTCCAGGAGCCCTGCTGTGGGGGCTGCAGAGTGTTTTCCTGAGGCTCCTATTCCAGGCCATCAGGCCCTGCTCTCTCTGGGAAAGACAACAGAACGGCTGTTGGGCCCCAGCTCCCCACTGCGTGCAGGCCCAGCTGTGTGCACTTCTCATTTTGCCATAGATCTAATTGAAGTTCTTTTGATTCTGGGAGAGGTAGGATGTCTTTTTTCCATACCTTCCCTCTGCTTTGTATTGTGTTAGGTTCAGGTGATCTGACCCACAAGACTGTCTTGTCTCAACTACAGCAAGACCGTCACCAGTTTTCTGTTTTCCTTAACAGAGTTGGTTTGGACCTGGATGAAGATCCAAAGGAAGAGCCCTCCTCACACCAGGCAAGTCAAAGAAGCCAATACATAGAATATAGAGATACAAGATGTTCTGTTCCATGGAATGTTCCATGCTAGTCCAGCATGTGGCCAAGAGGCTTATTCTAAAGGGAACTACCTCTGCAGATAAAACTAATCAGAGAACTATGGAATCCTTTGGGATTTAAGGATTCACTAATCTCTGCATAACCTTTGGAGTGCTTACACCTCACACACACTTATGCCCTCTGTGTGGCAGCAGGAGGCCTGGAAACTGCATTGTGGGAGCAAGAACAGGACTCTTGAAATCAGGTAGCCTAGGGTTAAATCCCTGCTGAGTAACTTGCTGGCTAACTAATCACAGTGAAATTTTCTCAATGCATGTCTGATGCATGTTGGGCATCCAACAAATGGACCTGTTTCTGAGATATGACTTGTCATTTACCAGGTCCGGGTACACAGAAATATTGAAAATTTGCAAAAGCACAGCAGCTGACTTAGCTAAGCAATAGTTATCTACAGAAAGCTGAAAATCCTTAAGGAAAATCTTTCAGAACAATCTGTTGTTCCCTCCAGGAAGGGAAGTATTTTCTCTAAGCTCTGGACTTGAACCTGATATCAGAGTAGAGCATGTCACTGCGGTTTTTCATTAGTCATTTTTAACTCAGTACTTGAACAGTTGTGTGGAAAAGTTGCACCTTTTGCTGAAATTGCTAGTAGACAGACATGATCAAATAGCATAGTGAGTAATGTCGCTTAAGAATTGTGCATGATCATATCTGAATTTGAAGGAGATCCATCTCTTTTATGTATGATTTTTCCCTGCAGTACCATCAATGTGGTATAGCCAGTTAGTGCTGCTGCTTCCCGGGCTCACATAGACCAAAAGAAGGACCCTGTGCTCTACAGAATGGGCTGGAAAATTACGTTAATGATCCTGGCTCATATATTCTTTAATATTTTGTCACATGTGCTCCAAAGCTAAGCCGGTAATATATTCAGAAACTTTTTTGCCCAGGAAACACAGCTGACTGCAGGCCTGGGCACAGTGGGGTGCTGGCGCACTGGGATTAGGGCCAGCTTGGCGACCCCAGAAGGAGATCAGAGCCATCTCCTTACACTGGTGGCTGTCATGAGCGGGTACTAAGGGCTGGTGGTAGCTCATTTTCACAAAGCATTTTCATCTTATATAGGTCAACTAACCCATTCTTCTACTTTCAAGTAAAGCTTTCATCTAAATTTTACCCTTCTCATGTATTTTTCTCTAAAAGAAAAGAGATAGAGTAAGAAGGTTCTTTATCTTTCTCTAACTGCCTTATATTTTATAATCACATATAATTATTGATATTACCTACTAGCCTAACTCCTTTCTTTTTCAATTTAAATGCATTTTATTTTAGCTCATTCACACTAATGTTAATTCAGTAATAACTCTTACCTGAACACACTCAAACCAGTAGAAAACTTTTTTGTTGTCGTTAGTGAATGAGTTGGTACAACACAGTGCAGTCAAAACTACGCGGTATTTGGCTCTGAGGCAAGTTTTTTACATCTTTGAGTCTCATTCCTTTGTAGTGTAGAAGGTGAATAGTAATAATGTCTACTTCTCCAGGTTTTTGACAATTAAGTGAAATTTTATCTATAAAAGCTACCTAACAATTAAATTAGTTTTGAGGCAGCTTACACCACCACATATAACAAAATAAGAGTAAAATATTTTTAAAGAATTTTAAAATTCAGTAAAAAATTTAATAGGAGCAAAAAGCCAAAATCAAAGGAGAAAAAAAGGAATCATAAATAGTAAGATCATAACTTCCTATAGATTTGCTATCGCTTTCTGATAACCAAAGTGGGGGGGATTAAGAATCAGTAATATACTGAATTATTATCATTAGAGGGCAAACTATACTCTCTCCTCAGGTGATACAAAACTTCACAGGCCACAGTGTTTTAAAAGAAGTTTCTCATTTGGAGCTTGCTGTAGAGGACTGATAAAGAGCTATCTAAATGTTAACTAACATTATAATTTGCATGGTTACTACTGAGCTGCTGCTGCTTAAAAATAACTTTTATTTTAAGAAGCATCCTGAAAGTGCTCTGAATGATGATAATGTTTGGCTACCAGGTAGCTACCTTTCAAAAAGAGGTTTTCTCCACACCTTGGAATAATTCTTGTGTTCAGTGTCAAGACAGAGGAAACGGTGGGTCCTGGCTGTAGGAACAAACCACAGCACCCACGCAGCAGCCACTCCCCCGGACAGTTTTTGTTAGTTTGTTTTGGTACTTTCCAAACCATGTGTCAGTAACCTCTCTGCCCTCATTTTGCCTGACAGTTCATTGTTTGCAATCAGCATCCATTGCTCAGTCTGATGACAGGGCATAAACCCTAATTCTTAGGAGGGCTGTGTGCTTCCACTTGGTTGGCATTTATTAAACTGGGCTTGCATTAACAGGATAATCCTCATCCTGGTCAACCTCTATTTAAAAAAGGCATTATTTTTACTTATCAAAAGCTAAAAGTTTCAGAGATAGCTATGGCAATTATTGATCGTGCACTCTCAAAATCAATAATAAACATATTTTTCAAGAAAAATTTTCTTTATTTATGGAAAGTTTTTTTTAAAAAAGTCTTAAGGAAATATGAACTTGTAGCTGTGACTAACTAGCAACATCACAATTTTTCTTTTTGCCTTGTAACACCTTTAGAGTGTGAATGGTATTGCACTCTTACTTGTATCTGGCCCAGAAGCTTTAGAAACCATGTTCCATACTTGGCTATTAAATTTTAATACACACTCTACATAAATATGCTACTTTGAAAAATTGCAGTTATAAATTCTGTCTCTTAAATTAAAACACACACACACACACACACACACACAAACCTCAGGACCGTCCCCCTTGCCCCACAGGAAGTTTTCCTGGTAATTGGTTCTGAAATGATTCTGTGTCTTTGGGAGCACAGCATTACAGAGAAGGTGACTCACTAGAGCATCATACCTGCTTTTAATCTTTCAATGAAAATTCCTGCTACCCAAGAAGGGCTGCTAATATTACTCCTCTTTTTCCCTTTTGCCATTTTTCCCAATCATCCTAATATGTGTTAGATACCAATATTGTTGTTAACACTGTTCTAAGCACCTTAAATACATTAATTCCTCACTTTCCAAGGTAATCCTGCATGCAGACTATTATCATCCTCATATTTCAAATGTAATTTTGTACATAGTTACATATTTCCCCCTTAAAAGTATATAAAAAATTACCCTACTTCCAGTATCCCATGTTACAAATTGCATATTGTATATAAAAAGATAAAATGATGAACTAATTTATAAGCAGTTAAACTTAGTAGTTAACTTTTGGGGGAGTCAAATGTTATACATGGATTTTTTACTACATAGGGGTTCAGTGTCCCTAAACCCCCACATTTTTCAAGGACCAACTGTACTAATACACTGTTCATCAGAAGCCTTAACTCATAACATAAACAATCAATTAACATGTATTTTGTATGTAATGTGGATTATATACTGTATTCTTAAAATAAATTAAACTAGAGAGAAGAAAATATTATTAAGGATACCATAACAATGAGAAAATATGTTTGTAATATTTACTGAAAACATCTGCATAGGACTTTCAGTAAAGATAGTAGAACAGGTAAATACTGTTCTTGCCTCCTCCCATGACGACATCAAAATTATAACTAAACTACAGAACAACCATCACAGATAAGGACCAGAAATCTAGCTGAACAAAAGTCCTGTGACTAAGGATATAAAGAAGAAGGCAGGTGAAGACTGATAGGAGAGGTGGAGATGAGAACAGGCTGATCCCACACCCATGTGTGGCTGATGAAAATTAATAGGGATATCTCAGCTGCAGGGGTCCCCTCTGCAGAGCAAGGAGTTCAAGCCCCACATCAGGCTTTCCAGCCTAGGGCTCCAGTGCTGGGAGGAGAAGTCCCCATAACTTCTGGCTATAAAAATCATCCAGGATTGTGGCTGCATAAGACAGAGGCTTCTGGAGTCCCAGGCAGTTCCTCCTAAGAGACTATGCATAGATTCACTAAGACTCACTTGCTCTGAGCTCCAGTACTGAGGTAGCAGCTCAAAAGCACTAGGGACATATAGGGAGGAACTGAATTGACTGGCTTTGGGGCCAAGTCTAAAGGGACAGCTGTCTCCCAGACAGAAATGTTGACAGAAGCAATTTTTCCTTTGCTGAGCTCACTGCCCAAAAAGCTGGCAGCAAGGCGATATATGAGATTCCATCAATCTGACTCACACTGTTCTGCCCACCCTGGTGATTCCCTGAGACCTCACTCTACTCAGCTTTTTGGCCCACTCAAGCTGTTTCCACCATGCTTTTCCATATGAAGGGCCTGTCTTGGCTCATACTATAGCATTTCTAAAATCTCTCAAAGGTTTACAAACACCAAATAAGCATCATCTGGCCTCAGCATGCCCAGTACTTCTTGCTAGGTGGCTTCAATCCCAGCACTAGTTCAGCCAACTTCGGATTACACCTTAGTTTCTACCAGGCATCTCCAAGCCCAGCACAAGTAGCAACATTCTGCATACCACTTCGTAACTTATATCAAGTGGCCCCAGGCTAGGCACAGGCAGTAGCTGACCTCAGCCTGCACCAGAACCCCTCCCAAGAGTCCCCAGAATTTACATACCTGGTGGCTATCTTTATACCACACCAGAGCACCATTCAACCACCTCTAAAAACAAGACACCCAAAGGGTAGACTCAGCAGACAATAGAATGATGCTAAAGTAAATCCGGACCCATGGGGTCAGTCCCCCAAGGCCCACAGCAGCTCATATGCTGTGGTCATGGCCAATTCTCATAGTAATCAGGCTGAGGGTCAATCCCACCCACTGATGTGGCAACAGCATTCAAGGCTTAACTACACAGGAGGGTTCACACAGCCTACACAAGTAATACACCTGGAATACCTGACTCAGGTGACAAGGGAGAATGTACCACTGGGCCCCACAGGACACATACTATATA